GCGTTATAATTTATGTACCATACAATTCATTCATTTGAAGTGTTCAATGTTTTTTAGCATGTTCATGGATTATTCAGTATCACCACTACCTAGTTTTAGAATATTTCCATCCGACAAAAAGAAGCCTTGTACTCATTTTCACTCTCCATTCCTCCTCAAGTGTTCCCCCTAACTCTAGATAACTGTTGATCTGCTCTCTGTTTCTATAGATTTGCCTATTCTGGATGTTTCTTACACTTAGAATTATACAATATAAGGTCTTTTGTTACTGACTTGTTTCACTTGATAAAATGTTTTTAAGATTCATCAATGCTGTAATATGTATTGCATTCCTTTTTAAGGCTGAATAATATTCTATTTTAATGTATATATCAAATTTTGTTTTTTCATTTGTTAGCTAGTTAAAAACCATTTAGATTATTGGTACTTTTTGACCATTATAAGTAATGCTGCTATGAACATATGTATACAAATTTTGGTGTGGACATATGTTTTTAATTTATCTTGGGTATATACTTAGGAGTAAATGGCTGGGTTATTTTGGTAACTATTTGTAAACTTCTACGAGCTGCAAACCACTTTCCAAAGCAGCTGTAGCGTTTCATATTTCCATCAGCAATCTATGAGGGTTCCCATTTCTCTGTAGCCTCACCAGAACGTGTAATTATCTCTCTTGTTTTTATAGCCATCCTAGTGGATATACAGTAGATGTCATTGTGGTTTTGGTTTACATTTGCCTAATAGCTAATGATATTGAGCATCTTCTTTGTACATCTTCTCTAGTGAAATTTCTATCAGATTTTTTACTCATTTTTTAATTAGTTATTTGACTTTTTATTATAGAGTAGTTCTTTATACATTCTGAATATAAGTCAGTCCCTTGTCAAGTATATCATTTGCAAATATTTTCTCCCTTTCTGTAGGTTGTCTTTTCACTTACTTGATAGTGTCTTTTAAACTCAAATGTTTTTAATTTTAATGTCCAATTTACCTATTTATTTCTTTTGTTGCCTGACATATCTATTGTTTTTGTGTTTGACAACCCATTGCCAAACCCAAGGTCATGAATATTTACATTTTCTTCTAAGACTTTTATATTTTAGTTTCTACATGTATGTATATGTGATCCACTTTGAATTCTTATTTATATATGAGATAAGGGTCCAGTTTAGCTCTTTTGCATGTGGATATCTTGTTATCCCAGAATAATTTGTTGAAAACTGTATTACGTTCTAACAACAATTCTCTGACATCAGCTGGTTGTCCTCTAGTGCAATTCAGTCTGACGCTAACTATTCACAGTTAACATCACATACCACAAATTCAAGGACAAGGTCCCCAACAAGACTGTCCTTACTTAAAAGGCCAGCTGCAAGTGGGGTCCCTAAGCTACCTTTATTTCTGCTTGGCAGAATTGGCTACAAAATTGGGAGTTCCCAAGAACCCCTTTAAGGTTTGATAGTTCACTAAAACAACATACCTGTCACACTAAAGTGCTACACTTATGATTGCCATTTTACTAAAAAGGATTTAAATAAACAGCTGGATAAAGAGGTATACAGGATATGTCTGGAATAATCTGGAGCACAAGTTTGTGTCTTCATGGAGTTGGTTGAACCACCCTCCTGGTACTTCAATATGTTCACTATCCTGAAAGCAGTTTAAGCCTTATGTTCATAGGTTGTTTTTTGTTTCTAAGATGGAGCCTTGCTGTGTCGCCCAGGCAGAGTGCAGTAACGTGATCTCAGCTCAGTGCAGCCTCCGCTACCTGGGTTAAAGGGATTCTCCTGCCTCAGCCTTCTGAGTAGCTGGGATTATAGGTGTGCACCACCATGCCCAATTCAATTTTGTATTTTTGATAGCAATGGGTTTTCACTATGTTGGCCAGGCTGGTCTTGAACTCCTGACCTCAAGGCATCTGCCCCCTACCTTTGCCTCCCAAAGTCCTGGGATTTTAGGCATGAGCCACTGTACCTAGCCTCATATTCATTATTTTAATTTGAGGTATTTATTACATAGGCATGTCATTGGCCATGCGACTGAACTAAGTCTTCAGATCTTCTTTCCCCAGAGATAGGGGACTGGAAATGCCATCACTCTAATTACATGGGATGTTTTTATCCTTCTGACAGCCTCCGCCATCATGTAGGCTATCTGTGACAACAACCCTGTGACACCTCATTAGATAACAAAACCACATCTATCACTCAGGTAATTTCAAGAATTTTCTTTTTTTTGAGACGGAGTCTCACACTGTCACTCAGGCTGTAGTGCAGTGGTGTGATCTCGGCTCACTCCAGTCTCCGCTTCCTGGGTTCAAGCAATTTTCCTGCCTTACCCTCCTGAGTAGCTGGGGCTATAGGCGTGCACCACCACACCCAGCTAATTTTTTTGTATTTTTAGTACAGATAGGGTTTCACCATGTTGGTCCGGATGGTCTCTATCTCCTGACCTCATGATCCACCCTCCTTTTATGGAAGTGGGCCACCATGCTTGGCCTCAAGAATGTTTTTAACTCTGTGCCAGGAACCAGGGACAAAGACCAGATTTTAAAAAATGTATTAATACTTACAACACACCTATTCTTTGGGCAACCGTGTCAAAATCAACTAGCTACAAATGTACGGGCTTATTCTGTGCCATTAGATCTATATATGTATCCTATACCGGTATCCCACTGTCTTGATTACTGTAGCTTTGTCATAAATTTTGAAGTCGGGAAGGATGCATCCTCTTTTACTTTTTTGTTTTTCAGGATCGATTTAGCTATTTTGGATTTTTGTATTTCCATATGAATTTTAGGATCAGCTTGACAGTTTATGTAAAAAAGCCAACTGGAATTTTGATAAGAGTTATGTTCAAGAATATTAAGTTTTCTCATCCATGAATGTGGGTTGTCTTTTCATTTTTTAGATATTCTTTAATTTTTTTCAATGATGGTTTTAGTCTGTGATTCAGAAGCCTTCCAACTTCTAATGTTAAATTCATACCAAAGGATTTTATTCTTTCGACATTATTATAAATGGAATTGTTTCCTTGATATCATTTTCAGAATGTTCATTGCTAGTGTGCAGAAATACAATTGATTTTTATATGTTGATCAACTATCCTGCAATCTTACTGAAATTGTTCTTTAGCTCTTACAGTTTTTTAGTTACTTCCTTAAGATTTTCTAAGTAGAAATGATGTTATCTACAAATAGACATAATCATACTTCTTCCTTTCAGTCTAGATGCCTTTTCTTTCTTTTCTTAGTGAACCTGTCTGTAATATCTAATAAAATGTTGAATAAAAGTTGTATGAGCAAATATTCTTGTTCCTTATTTTAAGAAGAAAACAGTTAATATTTCACCATTAAGTATTATAGTTGTAGATTTTTCATAGATGGTCTTTATTAGGTTGAGGAAGTTTCCTTCTATTTCTAGTTTGTTTAATATTTTTATGGTGTTAAAATAAGGTGTTGGATTTTGTCAGATGCTTTTCAGCATCTATAGAGATGTTGTATGATTTTCCCCTTTATTAACATGGCATTTTATGTTGTTTGATATATATATGATAAATCAACTTTGCATTCCTGGGATAAATTCTATTTGGTTATAGAGTGTAATTCTTTTTGCTGTTTTGTGTACTCTAAAAGAATCTAGATATTCCAAAATTATTTAGGTTTTTTAAAATGAAAAAGAATATAAATTAATAAATAAAAGTTGTACAAGTCACCTAGTCTTAGATTACCTCTAAGTCTGCAGCTCTGGTATTAAGAAAAACAGACCAGTATTTCAGAAGTGAAATTCTATTTTCCTAAAAGTACAATTTGAAGTATTATCGTTAACATACTGACCTGCATAATTTTTGATAATATAGGACCATCCTAGTACAAAATATTGATAAGCTTTATATTTATACAATTTTAATAAGATGGTTGCAAGATCCCATATGAAATTAATAAATGTTTAAACATCTTGAAGTCATATAATTTAGTCATTTTGGTGGCCAAACCTTAAAAAGTAGGGAATAGCTGTGAACTTCTCTCTATAAAAATTACTGGACATTCACAGATAAATAATCATAATAAAATAGCTGTATGTATTGAAAAATTCTTGGATTCTTGGTTCATGACAAGCTTATGAAGCCATTTTATAGATTGGGAAATTAAGCCTGAAAGAGGTTATATAAATTTCCAAAGACATAGGGCTTTTCTGTCATGGAAATCGATACTTAAATTCTGCTTTTATGACCCTGCAGTCTGGCTCTGATAAAGTGACCACTTATAGAGTGTTTCTTTTTTTATTTTGTTCTTTCTGTTGTTGGTGTTTTTGCCTAGAAATTATTCAATGGGTTTGTAAAATATTTATTCTTATATAACTTAGTGTCCTAGTATGATATAGCACTGTGCTTGCTAAGTCTTATGTATTCCATACATTTGTACACATTTGTACTCCAAATTTCAATGCCCATTAGAATGTTTTGCATAAAGTATTAAAGCTCTAAGTAATGTTGCATTATATATATATTTTAAACTGCCTATCAGGAACCATGAAAATGTTTGTAATTGTCTCAGTAAAACTAGACTTAGGATCACTTTAGGCTAGATACATACACTTGTATTAATGAGTCCATGTATCACACATGCATGCTCGTGTGACTGAATTAATCATATGATGACTTTTAAATAGTTTCATTGATATGGTTCCAAAATAATTAGTTCATATTTTTACATTTCAGTTGTTGCTATGTCTTGAAATGTCATTAATAAAAATTTTAGTTGTTCATTGATTTTTCATTCATCAGCCACTAACTGGCAGTTTTATGCGTCCGATATTGTTTTATGGCTATGAATCTTGTCTAGAAAAAATATTACAATTAAATTACTTATTTTTTTCCCAACATTTTGCAATAAAATCTTATTTAACTATCTGTATGATTTTTAATCTGAGTATTTTGGAATTACTTTGATTTCTCACTTAATATTTTCTTTAATTTCTTTTTTTTTTTTTTTTAAGCATTTCAAGAAATAGACAACATCAAGGATACCAGGAGTGGGAGAGATTGGACTGGGAGACCCAACAGGTCAGGACATTTGCATTATCATTTGCTGCTGGTTCATTTGCCATCAGTTTTACAATTCTCAAATCTCTTGCCACTTGCTTATTTCTTGTATGTGCTTACTTGAGTTGTTCTTGGTTTCCAAATCAAAAATAACACTCTTAGTATAAGAAGCTGAGCATTTGGGTATCTTCCTTTTGTAGGTTGAAAATGAAAAAAAATTAAAGAAACTTTCAAGAAGAGAAAAAAATTCTTACCTAAGTTACATGGATGCCCTAATTTATATTTTTTCTTTGTATTGTACCAACTGTTTTGAAATGAAACTTCTTAATGACTTTCCCAGAATCAAATTCTTAAAACATACAGAATGTTAAGAAACATGTATTAGTGGGGATGCACTCAAGTCATGAAAATCGAGTTTCTTCTCTTCTCTGCCATATACTCTGTGCTGGGGTCCACCTCTAAAAGCTTTTGACACTCTTCAGAGTCAGTCTGTTTGCCAATGCTAATAGTAACCACAGAATGTTGACTACCATGTATGAAATGAAAGTTAATTAAATCAGACAATTTCTATGTAAATCAAAAGATCTCAATAGTCAGAGTCTACTGGGAGCATTCAGCAGTCATTGTGCAAGGTTGATTTTAGTCACATTCCTCAGTAAACTGGAGCTGCACTGGCCTTTGAAGTCCCCATTGCCGTGAATATCGCTGATGCCTATGTGTTCACCCCTTGGTTCAGGGAAGTTTCTTGGCTTCCATTGGTTTCAACCATTGTTGAAACATCGGCAGTGTTCACAACTCTCACTATTACTGCTTAGTTATGAATGAAGACTTGGAAATCCCCTCCCTCTTCATTACCCCTCCCATGTTACCACTTCCACAGCTCCCCTGGAGCCTACATGTGTTAGGTCCTCGGTATTCAGGTCTTCTGTAGAACAACTACCGGTGAGTTTTCTAGTTTTTATTATACAGAGAGATAAGTGTCTTTGTCCTTCAGTGTGATCAGATCCCTTTAACTAAAATGACTTTCTCAAAAAGGAGCTAAGCTTAAAGGTCTTCTACCTGGATGCTTCAGGGACTTTATTTTTTAGCATGAACATTAAGGATTAGACAAATTTTTATTGGCATGTACCTTGAGAGAACACTGCTTACCAGCTTAAAGGAAAGATAAATTTCAACTATATTTTGATGCAATACATTTGCTTAAGTCTCTGCTTTTAGCTAAATTAGGTAAGAGTCCTGCAAAAAGCTGCGTTTAAAATGATATGCCAAAGTAATTGGGTTTGTAAGTGTGTCTGCACTGATTCTTGCAGTTAAGAACCACTTCTTAATGATACTTTGATAAAGAGTATTCTGATAATGAACATCCCTAAATTTTTAGTTTGCAAATATTACCGAAATAAACATTAAAACCAAGTAAGTTGAAGCTAAACATGGTAGGTTTTCTTGGCATCCAAGTATTATATAAATATTGACCTTAAATTGAATATACTTGTTCAGGTTGACTGTTGCATGTTTGGAAGCAAAATCGAGAAGGAAGAGGCAAACATCTCATAGATCCCTATAGTGTTAAGAGATAGAAAGAAACTTGGCCCAATCAACTTATTTTACAAGCCCAAATTACTGTCCTCTGTCACATGAAACATTAGTTACAGAACTAAATCTATGTTTTTTGGCATGATGCAGGTCTACTTCATTATGCTACCTTGCGGGTTACAGAACACAAATTATTCTGCATATTACATTATGCACAAACATAAAAATACCATCATATTTGCCATTTTGTCAATTTATCATTTGATAAAGAATGCTATTGGTACTGACACTTCACTTTGGATTATACTAATAATTCAAAGAAATCAAGTACTTAAAAATTATTTTAGGTAGTGTCATTTCCATGGAGAAGTTTTCTGTTTAGCTAAGTGAAATAAAAAGATGAAGATCTTTTCATTAATTCATTTATTTATTCATACAAGGAAAATTCCTACTCTCCCAGAGCTTTCATTCTTATGGAAGAAAACACAAAGTGAAGATTTTGATACGTATGTCAGTGGGCATACTTACTTAGAAGAAAAATAAAGCAGGGATACTAGAGAACACTGCAAGACCACCTCAGATACACTGTTTAGGGAAAGGCTCTTTGATAAGGAGAGAATGGAACAGAGGCCTGAATGGAGTAAGAGAATCATTTCAAAATGTGAGGGAAGAGAGGCACATTCAAAAGGAAGAGCCAATAGGATGAATGTGCTTGGTGTGTTGAAGGAATGGCAAGGTCAGTGGCAGGAAGACAGTAAGGAACAGACAAGTAAGAGATGGCACTACAGGGGATGATGTGGCATTCATCATTTACAACCTGGTAGACCATGGTAGGACCTTGACTACTCTTCTGAGGGAGATGGAGATCATTAAAGGAATTTCAGCAGATGAGGAATATGCTATGGTTCATATATTTTAAGGATTACTCTAACAGGTTGTGTACAGCATTTTAAACATTTCTGTTTACAGACAGAATCTAAATTATGAGTAAAAATAGACTTAATAATAATTAGGCCAACATTGTCTAATCAGGATATTGACTGATGGTTGTGTTCAAGAAGGTAACATTTGATAATACAGCTATCCTTTTTCTTTTCCGTGTCTTCAATTGGGAGAATTTTTTGAATTTGAATTATTTTTTTTTTGCTTTGTGTAATAACGTTTTAAAACAGAGACCTTAATGATATATAATATTTAAAATTGTGTGCATTTAATTAGTTGCTTGGAACAGCTGAATTTCTCATTTGTTTGCCATTTATAATTTCAACATAAACCACATTGCCTTCTATAAGTCCGGAAGCAAGTCCTGAATTGTGTCTCCCATTTGCAAGGGAAGATGTTTGAAATTATTTAACTCTTTTATTATAATTGTCTCAATCCGTGAGCCTATTTATGAGCAGGAAACATACAGAAGTTAAAACAAATCAATTTAGTATGAATTAGCAGGCATGAATTCTGGAAGTAGCTCTGAAACTTACTAGCTGAGTGACATCATTTGGACCTCGGTTTGCCTCTTAAATGACCTGTGGGAGAAGTGTATAGTGTTGTTATTGCTGTAGTTCCTTTTGTCCAGCCATTGTACATATATTAGGTAATAAAGAGAAAATGGATGAGTAAAGAGTTGCTTGCATTGTAAGTAACCATTTATAATACAATTGAGAAAATAAGGGATAGGGTTTCATGTAAATACAGGATAACATCCATATTTATTTTCAGAAAATTATTAGGTTAGAGTAGGTATTATTGATACTTGGAAGGAAGGATTATTTCTAAAAGTATCATTCCTATCATGTGATGAATCAAAGTAAATATTTGAAAAGAGATTTGGGAGGTAGGGAGTGCCTTCTACTAGTGATCCTGTTGCAGTAGTTTTCAATTGCCAAATAAGTATTTACCAAAAAGTTTTCAAATTTCTAAACAGTGCATTAGAAACTATTTAAAAACTCTACCTAGGTTATCTTGGCTTAGATTTTCATTATTTGCCTATTAGAATATTCATGCAACAAAATATATATATACCTGTTTATGAATATTTAATATTTTCCTAAAAATTCTTATTCTAAATTGTTTCCTTTTTAGTCACAAGAGCCGTTTTTATGAGTAAACTGATAAATAAGGAAATTATTCTTTGACATTATTTTTTGGATAGGGTATGCTGACTTCAACTTCACCCATACACCTAAGATTGTTTTGAGTCTGGAGTGATTCCTGTCACTTTCTGCCGCAGACAGTAGAGGAAATTCTCCAACTCCTGTAAGAGTCATTTCCTCTACATATGCTTACCCATTGCCTGTTCTACAAACTTTGATTCTCTTCTCCAGTACCTTCAACTTCTGCATTACTAGAAGCAAAATATTTAAACGTGCTCAAGTTTCTCATCTAAAAACAAAACTTGTTTCAATTTTACTTCTTCCTTTAGCTACCACTCCCTTCATATACAAATTTCCCTAAACCTTAATCTTAAATTTCAGCAATTTTCTTTTCTTCTTCTCACTCCTCTACACCCCTCCACTTCCATCAAGCCAGATCTTGCTGAGATGGTCAATAATTGTTATCATGCTAAATCCAAAAGGTATTTTTCAGTCATTATCTTATTTGGTCCTTAGTTTCATTCAGCTGCATGAAAGACTTGTCAATCGCCATGCCAATTTTTTGGTTGTTTTTGAAGGACTGTCTTCCCTCTGCTTTTCACTTGGGAGTGAACCCCTCTTGTTCTCCACTGCATCCCTAACATACTTTTGAAAGTGCTTTGCTAATAGGGTGTGCTTAATAAATGTGATATGAAGAGCTATAGCCAAATGAATACATGTGAAATGCAATGCCATAAAGGCTACAAAAGATCTACAAGGTAACAGCCTGTAAGCCATCATAGAAAATTTCATATACAAGTCAGTATTTGAGCTGGGCTTTAAAGGATGCATGTGATTTTGCCCAGCAGAGATGTTGGACCGTGGAAAGATTGCCAAGTATATATTTAAAGCTCAGGTGTCATATGTTCCTCTTTGGGCTTGAGTTTGGATGCAACATGGGGGATACGAAGGGAAAATAGTGACTACAAAGGTAAGCTGGGTTCAAATAATAAGAAGCCTTTGAATCCTATGCTAAGTGGTTTGTCCTAATTCCACAGGACTTGAGGAGTAATTAAAACTTTTTGTCTTGGGAAAGTAGGGTGATGATTAGGGCTGTGCCTTAGATCAATTAATTATTATGTCCCTGTGAGGCTGATTGCTTTATAAACTGTATGGCTATAAGAAGGAAGATAGAATACTAATGCAATCATGAAATAAGAGCTCAGGAAAGTCGGGCATGAGGTGGTAACAACAGGGTGCAGATACAAGCAGAAATCTGAAGATGGATTCTATAGGACTTGATGTCTTTCTAAAGTGATGAGGGATCAATTTCAACCTTGAATAATGGAAATAAAGGCCATGCAATTCATAGATGTAGGAAATCACAAAAAGCAACTTGCTTTATTGATTTATTCTTTT